CAGAGCACAGAAAGCCCATTGTGTAGCTTTGTGCTTAATTAGAAACAAACAAACAAAACATTAAATATATTTAAACGCTTTTGATTGTATATTATTAAGAACACAGCTATACTATTGGTTATATGTGCTGTGCCCATTGTGAGTAAAGAAACCCGATTCAGACGTGTCAATGAACCATCAGGGTGCAAGTTTAAACACATTCCAAAAACATAATTCAAGATGTTAACGTCATCCTGGTCAGTAAAGACTAACCATAGTGAGGTACAAGTTGTTAAGTATATCCATATAACCATTTTGTTTCCAAATGAACTATCACTGTCATGCTTCAGACAATTTAAGACATTATATTAATTTATCCATATCTACAGATTTCAGCACGCTGTAACTACATCGTTTTATGTTACTTAATGAATCTGGAATGTTGCAGATCACAGTTTTCACTTTGTTGGTTTATCAGGATACGACTTGTCAGAATTCTACTATTTAAATGATTTCAGATCCAATAGTTTATATGACAGAAAAAAATATTCTCGGTAAGAAGGGACGTGGGTTTGAATGATATTCATTCTTTGGTTATTTATATAATTTATCTCAGAGTGTTTAAATCAAATCAAATTCTTCGGCCACTAAGTATCCAAGTTGTTCTACCAATAGATGTGGCCATCCAATGCATAACAATTATCTAAATTGTTCAACCAGCAGATGATGACGTCCAATGGATAAGACATAATCAAACTGTCCCACGTAAGAGATGCTGCCATTAATTGTATACGAACTATATAAATTGTTCAACCAGCAGATGATGACCTCCAATGGATAAGACATAATCAAACTGTCCCACGTAAGAGATGCTGCCATTAATTGTATACCAACTATTTTAATTGTTCAACCAGCAGATGATGACGTCCAATGGATAAGACATAATCAAACTGTCCCACGTAAGATATGCTGCCATTAATTGTATACGAACTATATAAATTGTTCAACCAGCAGATGATGACCTCCAATGGATAAAACATAATCAAACTGTCCCACGTAAGAGATGCTGCCATCAATTGTATACCAACTATATAAACTATTCAACCAGCAGATGATGACCTCCAATGGATAAGACATAATCAAACTGTCCCACGTAAGAGATGCTGCCATCAATTGTATACGAACTATATAAATTGTTCAACCAGCAGATGATGACCTCCAATGGATAAGACATAATCAAACTGTCCCATCTAAAAGATGCTTACTTTCTATGGATAGAAATATATATAACCAAACAGTTCCGCAAGTTACGGCTGATTTTTCACTAAATATAGATCTATTCACGACTCTGATGAATTAACCACGATTTTGTTTAAGTCTGTTATTATAGATCTCTTCATTTAGCCAATCAGGACTGAAGATAGCTTTAAGATTACCCTATTGGCTTTCAGAGTGGAAGCTAACAATTAATCGTTTTATATTTTAAACTTTGGATTTTGTTATAAACCTTCTGTTTTGTTCAACATGTACGTTTTGAAGTCGCATCTTATGAAAAATTTGAGTATTTCATAATATTTAGACAATGCGTATTCATACAGTGGCCTATTTGTCATAACTTATGTATAGCATTACCCAATATTTATAATATATGCATAGTATTACCTAATATTCATAATTTATGCATAGCATTACCCAATATTCATAATTTATGTATAGCATTACCTAATATTCATAATTTATGTATAGCATTACCTAATATTCATAATTTATGTATAGCATACATATGAATGATATTATTCTGAATGTCTGCTCTACGTAACAGAGCTTACGATAAAATATTTCGGTTTCAGATTTAGCCATAGAGTTTAGCACGTAATTGAACGGTTCGTGTCTTGAAATAATACAAAAACAAATTCGAAATATTTAGTAATTACTCTTAACGGAAACTTTGCCTAGTGCGGCTATCATTTTTTCCTGTAAAATAATATACTTCAAGTGTTTTTAAGAGGTTAAAAAAAACCTAACTAGCCATATCTAACAAAACCTACTGGGCAAACGTTTTTTTTTTATTATTTCTATTAGATAAAGAAATTTAATAGAAGAACCAGCTAGTCAAGCATCATTGGACTCTGAGTTACAGTTTCGGTCTGATTATCGTATTCCTGTAACAGTTGTTACAGGATCTAGTATTCAAAACAGATTACCACGCTTTTCGGGTTAATTTTTATTTTCATTTTTATAAAATCAAATTTTTTTTTTAGAGATGTACAGTGAAGTTAATTTGGAAGACATGTGAACTCAGGCTGATGGTCTGAAACTAAAGAAAACTACACTTGTTAAGTCACACGTGAGATTCCACATGTGAAATATTTTCGTTTTCTGCCTGAATCATCTCGTAATAGTGTATTGTTTGTTTGTCTGTATTTTTTTAATTTCGCGCGAAGCTACTGGAGAGCTACCTGCGCTAGCCGTCCCTAATTTTCAAGCTAGTCAATATCATCCACCGCCAACTCTTAGGCTACTCTTTTACCAACTAAAAGTGGGATTAACCGTCACATTATAACACCCCCATGGCTAAGAGAGCGTGTATTTTTGGTGATGCGATTCGAACTCGCGACCGTTATGTTGCGAGTTGAGGTCGATTTATATGAATTACAAATGTAATTAATAGATAATAAACGAAAAGCTGCGAAAAATCAAATTCAATCCTAAATTTATTATTTTCATCAATGAAAATATTAAACTTCAATTAAAAAACAAAAGGCTAACTTTCTGCAAGAATAAAAAAGAAAATTAATCAGAGCCGAAGCGAGAAAGTGCCAAAGGTGGCGCCACCTTCTTAAAGGGATTCATACAGAAAAAAATACGAAGAATAAGAAAAAATATTTAAAAATGTTAAAAGATCTGCTAGAAATAGAAGGATTAACAGGTTTTTTTCTTTATTATTACTTGTTTTGTCTACTACAATGAATTTTTACAATGTTGTTGAAATATTCTTTTGTTAGTAAAAAAACGAAAACAAAAAGGTAGATAAGTTTTAAGCAGAACATATTTGAATATTCTTAACTTGTTTTTATATCTTCTTTGTCAAAAAATATACAAACAATAAAGACGAGTTTATTCATGTTATCAGTCTTAAAGTATATAAAAAAAGATGTGTTTAGTAGTAAAGACGAACAAACGACTTTCGTGTCAATGACACAAATAAAGAAAAGTAGTTACAGGATATGCAAAAAAATCTATCAGTCCCGTCTATTTTGGGAGAAAATATATATATATATATAACAATTAGGATATTGTTTACATTTATCTCCGTTATTTTCATTCATTAACCTATCAAAAGTATACCAGATTTATCTTGGAGAGTTTGTCTTGGAATGCAGGACAGATTGAATGTAAAATCCTAAGGTAAAGCTCAGGGTCAAAAGGTCCAAGGTTCGAGCTCGCGGTATATTACTGATCATTGTCTGCATTTTCCTTATGAGTGATGAGTGCTGTTGACTGGTCAACAGTTTTAAATTAGGGACGGCTATGGCTGAACTTCTGGGATCTTTGACCTGGCCGTTTATCACGTGTTGAACAAGTTGTCGCTCAGCTTGAAAGTACCAATACTAAGTCAAAATGTAAGCATTAACTTCGTGACATTTAACACAACCGTAAAATCAAATTAAACGTATTTATATTAGTACTTGCATTAGATCTTTTTAAAGAAGTAAAAAAAAATCGTGATTACATACGTACAGATATGTATATACAAATAGCATGCACTATTGACAAGGGTACAGTAATAACGGAAAACTTATTTACTTTAACACAAAAAGAATTTGCAGATTTTATATTTCCACTTCTAAAACATCGTCGAAAAATTCAGTTAAAAAAGAAATGAGACGTCAGTTGTGTAGTATGTAACCAAGTTGGTCATAAAGAAACACAACTTTAATTTCTTAATAACACGAAATTAAATATCTTTGTACGTGACTCAAGCGTCAAGAAAGCAGCAAAATGGTTTTCTATACATTGTGAAGAACTACGACGTTCGTTTGACAGGTTAGAAAATCTTAAGCCTTGTTTATAATAGAAGAGGTTCAAATTAGTCAACTTTTAGAATTACAAGTTGAATATTTTGAAATTAATACCCAGAAAAATAATATTAATTCTTACTTTTTACAGCTTTTATATTTTGTGTAATATATTTTTGTTTTGTTTTGGTGAATTTTTTTTTTCGGTTAAAAATTGTTTGGCGCCTGATATATTAAAATAATTCATCAGGAGACTTGCGGGATGCGAGAATGTGAAGACAACTTAGGCCTAACGTTAAGTAAACGTGATTCGTATATACGAAGTAATCTGGAGCAAATACGCAACAATGACGCCTTTGTTTAACTTTGTATGTACAAATACTGTTGTCTGTAATAATACTTAGGATCACTTTTAAGTTTAGTGTACTTAATAAAACATGGCAAACAAAGGTAACTTGAAAAGTTTAAAAAACTTATATATAAAAATGAGGTGAAGATCTATTGAAAAAATCGTTAGGTATGGTATACTGTCTTTAAAAAATACATCATTTTAAATGTGCGGTAATTGTTAACAGTGCTACAAGACTGGGGTGTGTAATCTTCTATATTGTGTATTCATATACTAAATAATAATTATATTTTATAGCAAGAGAGCATGTGAACACGCATATAGCAATAAACTACTCCCAGTTATACTGATTGCCCATTCAGTAATGTGTATTAATCCGCAAATAACAGCAGGAAATGTATAACGGAGAAAAATCTCAATCGCTGACAGAATATATAGAAAGTTCAAAGTACTGTTTATTCAATACACAAAATCATTTAAAGTAACTGAATTCACTTTACGATTGATG